TAGTAGTAGTAGTAGTAGTAGTAGTAGTAGTAGTAGTAGTAGTAGTACTAGTAGTAGTAGTAGTAGTAGTAGGTCGGGGAGAGGTTGTAGCAGTTCCTCAGTTCCACAACTCAGTTCTCAGACTGAATTGTGCGAGGATTCCAAGGATCTCAGTGGATTGAGTGGCTAAGCAATGGAAGACCAAAGGCTCAGCTACCAAGATCAGCAAGGTGGTGGTGGTGGTGGTGGCGGCGGTGGTTACTACAAGCGATTGTCTATTAAACTTTCAGCAGGGAGGAAAGACAATTGAAAAATGTGGACTCTGGGAGAAATGCATATTCAACCCACAAAACAATGCAGGGGTTGGAACTAATCTGGAATAATTACGCGAAAGCTTTCAGTACTTCCGTCCTATTCACAAATCAGGACGTCACCACCGGGTAGTTGAAGGCCAAAGGCTGTAAACGTTCCCCTGACGGCGTAGTTTGGGACGCTTGGAGGCATTGAACATGCTGGTGCAGAAGAAAGTGAGGACCTTGGACGCGGAGGTCTGCAAGTTTAAATATCGCTACTAGTAACAAAGGACCTTACTACTAGGACCAAGGATGCTACTAGGTTCTCCTGGCCTTACTACTACGAGCAAGGACGCCACTAGGAACAATACGAGTTTAAGTACCAGTGGCAGCAGTGGTCCAAATCTGTATGGTCCCGAAATAAGGAACCTGTCTGGAAGGGAAGCTTGATTGGCATCGTGCATGCGGCAGGCAGAGCTGTATGGAGCATGTTCTGCAACCTTCAGGAATCACCAAGCATGTTTCTTCAACCTACTAACGATGGCCTCCAACCTACTAGCGACCTTGCTCCTAGTAGCGATGCCAGGAGCCGCTAGTAGCTTCTTGTTGCTAGTAGTAAGGCCAGGAGCCCCTAGTAGCGTCCTTGCTCCTAGCATGTTTCTTCCATCTTCCCAGGTTGAGATCCTGACCCTCCCCTGCTTGCAGGTGTGCAGGAACTTACAGCAATCACTTCTCACCTTCCTGGCAAGTTCGAGTTCGTCTATGCGCCAAAAGTGCAGGCCAGCGCTAGAGACAGGCCAAGGCAAGGGAATGGGGTGACAATTGTGGTGACAGGCGGCATGGAACCTTCACCAAAACTCAGCCGTGATCTAGTTCGGAGCTCGGTGGAGAAAGGGATATAGGGGTCAGTTTGTGCATCAGCTTCGGTATTTGCAACATTCTCAAACAACCGGGTACAGCCTCACCGCCTCACCTACACCTACTTTACTTGAGCCTGCAGCAGCTGCAGCAGTTTCTGGTTTTCAGATACTGGCTGCAAGACTCGTAAATTCACACATCGCTACTAGTAACAAAGGGCATTTCTACTGGGAGCAAGGACGCTACTAGTGGCTCCTGGCCTTACTAGCTACTAGGAACAACCCAAAAACAAACTCCGTCGATTCTTGTTTCCACTGCATGCTGTGAGAAGGCCCTGAAGTGAGTTGAGTGGGCTATCGGGGAAGGCAGAGAATGGCATCCTTCCCGAAGAAACTCCCAAGTGCAAACATCTCATTGAGCCAATGACACACAGCAATGTAGAGATGGTATTGAAATGTCTTGAAGAACTTGAATGGATTGCACATGCCATGTTTTGAATACATGACCCATATGTTGGACCTCCCCATCGCTATTAGGTTGAAGGCCATTGCTACTGTATTAGGTTGAAGGCCACCGCTATTGGATTCCTTAAAGTCTTTTTCTAAGGGTATTTTGTTGAACCATATTTTTACATGTTGCTACTCAATTGCCATTCCAGTCTGGTGACCCAGGTTTGGCATGGCTGGGCGTCTTCCCTGAGCGTGGGGATGTTCGAGCAAAGAACATAGCCTCCAACAACATAGCACTGTCAAAGAAGGCACTGCAAGTAGCACTGCATAGCCATCGCTATTAGGTTGGAGGCCATTGCCATTAGGTTTCTTATTTTTTGAAGCAATGCAAGTAGCACTGCATATATAGTAGGTTGTCTCAAGTTGACTCCCACTTCACGTAGGAGCATAGTGTGGTGAGCATCCGAGCCAAAGGAACACAATCAATCGCATTGAGTCAGCTACGTGTGGACCAACAAGTACATCCGAAAGCGTGCTGCAAATGCTGCTGACAGTATTTGGACTGTGTAATTAGGATTAATTAGGTGCAATCAGACCGCATGAGGCGGAACGTGGGGCTAACATCAGCGAGGCAGATGCCTGCATCCTAAGTGTTTTAGTTGAGCCTTTCAGCCGGGCTGCAGAAGGAAGAGAATGGAAACAGGAAAGTCCACAGATCTAGTAAAAAGACAAAGGAAAAGAACAGAAAACAACTTGGACGCATCCAGATCATTTTTTACCTCAGGTTGCAGCTGTGGTGGCAAAGGCTAAAGAGCTCATGGCTGCAGGAGCAACTGTGGAGGCTAAATGCAGCTTTTATCTTGCTTCTCTCATTCTTTCTTTCCTTCTTGTGAATCTTATGTCTAGAGCTGTCTATTTTCTACTACACTTAGCTCTTTCTTTCCCGAGAGACGATGGAGACAACTGGGTACTGTATTCATTCAATGGATATTCTTGTTTTGTGGTGGTACAGGCAGATATTGACGAGAGCTTTGCTGCAAAGGCTGCTACTCATAGAATTTGTGCGAAGGGTGCCAACAGATCAAACATGATCAAGCATGATCAAAACTCATAGTCATAGTCTCAAGTTCGGTGAATGCTGTGTCTGAGATTTCCTCAGTTTCTACGCCACTTCCACACGCCCATCCAGCCCTTCTGTGCGTTCCTGGGTGGAGTGTGTGCACAGGAGGCCGGAACGGAGGAAAGGACCATCTGAAGATTTTTGTTTGATCGAAGCCGATCCGAGCTGTTTCAGTCTGACAGGTTGTGAAGGTGGCAGGCAAGTTCACACCAATTCCTGGATGGTTGCACTTCAATGCCCTTGAGGCACAATCCGGAAGTTTGATGTGTACAGTGTAAAACAACATCACACTGAAAGGGAAACGCATGAACAGGATGCCTCTAACCTCAGATTTCCAATAGTAGTCGCAGGTCTTGCCAGATGAGCTGCCTTCTGACACGGCAGCGCAAGGAAGTCGGTGCCACGACAGCACCGGTGTGTGGAGCATTACAGAAGCCTTTTTCGAAGTCCAAGCTATAGAGGAAGAGGACGCTACTAGGGGCTCCTGGCCGTACTACTAGTATATAACAAGGACGCTACTAGGGACAAGAAGCTATAGTATGACGGATCTTAACTGCTATTGGCGCTACCATCAACTTCACGCGCTTTGTTCATGAGGGGTTGTACTCAAGGTATGATTCACTTGCCTCTGTCTTTGGACATTCCTTCATCAAGAAGCTCCAAAAGCTCAAGTGCGCCAGCTCTAGTGCTTTGCCCGGCAGTTTTTCTCTGTCTAGAAGGCCTTGCAGCATTGGCACCTGCGTAGCCAGTGCAACACTAGTGTAGCGTTGCACAGCTAGAGAGCCACCTTGGCTTTTTCCTGCATTTTTGGGCTTTCGATTTTCGCTTGCGCCGTTTTCAGAACCACCCTTTGCACTGTGCTCGTACCCTTTTTGTAGCGTGATCGCTATTAGGTTCGATGTTCGTTGCATGGCTTGTTCGGTGTTCGTGCTCCAAGTGATCCCAGGTACTTCATGGTGGGCTGTGGTGCTTTGGGGTGTGAGTTCCTTGGCAAAAAAGGTGTTTCGGGACAACACTCCAATCGCAGTTAGCTTCGACGGCAACCTACAACATACTATAGCTTCTTGTCCCTAGTAGCGTCCTTGTTCCTAGTAGTACGGCCAGGAGCCCCTAGTAGCGTCCTTGCTCCTAGTAGCGATGCCAGGAGCCCCTAGTAGCTTCTTGTCTATAGCTTGCCTGAGAGCTTCTGAATTCAATGTTTACGCTTCCTGCAGGTTTCTGAAGAACTTTGCTCTCAACGGTGTTTGTTGCGGCCCTGATGGCTTGTTGACTGCTGGGTCCTCGAAGATCTCGAAGTAGCGGATCATTTGCTTCCCGTGCATCCATATGTTCATCCTATGTTCATCCTATTTTCATCCATTTTCATTCATTTTCATCCTTTGCCGAATCTTCTTTCGAATCGTGTGTTTGATGCTCAGGTCACCGATGCTGATCGCATCGAGCTCTCGAACCTGACCAGGCAGTCGAAACCTGAGAGACCAAGCCAGAGCCAGCCGGCAGAGCATCAGCAGGTCATGGATTCCTTTTGCTCCGTTTCGGTGTGAGGTTTCTCTTCAGGGAGCACAACGTAGGTCAACCAAAGAGCAAGGCAGCCACTGCCATGGCTCAGGCTGCCGAAGCTTTCTGGTGTTTCAATTTCGTTTTCAGCTGCTGATGTCCTTTTTGCAGATCATGAACCCTGGCATGAAAGTCCTGGCCTTGGCCAGGAGGATTAAATCGGTGGTTCAACATGCTTCAGCAACAAATTATGCTGAGAAACATACAAGTGGCCTCCAACCTAAGAGTGGCCTCCCTAATTGTGACCGCTGTCCTAGGTTCGGGCTTTGGAGATGTTTGTTGGACCCAAGACCGAGGACTGAACGACGTATGATCACGTTTGTGGCGTCAAAACAGAACGTCGAGAGCTGCCACATACGAGAGCTGCCACATACGGGCAAGAAGCTACTAGTAACAAAGACGCTATTAGGTGGAGGCCATCGTAAGTAGGTTGGAGGCCATCGCTACTAGTAATAAGAAGCTACTAATACGGCGGGTATCTTACAAACGATCTTAAAAAGACGCTGAGTTTGAGACTCTGAGACCAAACACGATCTCGTTTGTTGAACCATCTTCTCTGGACATCCCAGCACAGCTGTTCTTTCATGACACAAATCATTGCCATACTCATTCTTCGCGACTTTGTGCTTGCCAGGACACTTTCAATGATGATTTTTGGCTAGGGCTGGATGGCATTTGCAATGCTCTTGACAACATGGAGGCCAAAGGGCAACTACCTGATTTCTTGATCGTGACTATATATACTGTATATATATATATATATACATAGTCAAAAGTGATGTGTCAGGCTCGCTTCTATGTGGATGATCAGTGTGTGAAGTACGAAAGACCGTTGCTGGAGAGTGGTGCGCATAGGAGCAGTTGAAGTTGGTGAGGACATGGCCAGACTATCAAGATCGAACAGCTTTCCTTTGTAACCTTCTACTAGCCACGCCTCAGAGAATGGACGTCATTACAAACAAGAACGCACGTGTTTTGCTCGTTCCTGCTGTTATTTATTTTTCCCTCATTCCGATCCTTCCTTCCTTTCTTTCGCCAAAGAGCGCTCTTTATAGTGACGACGACGACGACGACGATGATGAATCATCATCATCATGACAGTGCAATCGTTTTTTTCATGGTTTTCATTGTGGAGGTACGATGGGACCAGCGGGAAATGTTGACCCAGTCGTCCCTTTCAAGACGCACACGTGCCTCACATCAGATCACATTAGCAATTGCAATCTATTCACTAGAATCAATTCAAGCGAAGTGTTTTCTTTTTGGAGGCTTTCCACTTGGGAGCACACACAGCCTCACTTTTCTGGCAGCAAGTTTTGAAGTCAAGCCAAAGAAGCTAAAGTCTTCAAGTTCTTCGCCAGCAAAGTATCCTGGCAGAATCCTGGAATGGTTGGAGTGGTGCTAAGCATCCTGGTTCTTTGCCTGTCTGCACATGCTCGAAATGAGACTGAGCACAGGGAGCACAAACGCAAATACACGGTTGGTGTCTTTCTTCGGAGCAATTGGAGTTCGCTTCATCGCCTGGCGCGAGAGATCTCTGATCCCAGGTCAGCTTCCTATGGGAAATATCTGGACCAAACAGAGTTGGCCCAAAGAATCGGTCTAAACGAATCGGAAGCAGCTGCCCGTTCTTTGCAGAAGGCATTGGTGCAGGCGCAGGCAGCAGATCAAAATCGACCTCACATTGTGGCTCACAGAGATGCAGTACTCATGAGCGTCGAAGACTTTTTTGCCACCTACGAGCTGGGACCAGCATTGACTGGAAACCTCTCACATGCCTTTCCGCGCAGCGTTCACATGTTAGTGACGCCACCGATGCCAGATGGTTTGTGCAGTAGCTTGGGTGAAGAGGATTGCAAGAACAAGAAGCCGTGCAAGTGGCATGAAAAGAAGAATCGACTCCAGACGCAGCACCATTGCAACGTTACAAATCATAGCAACTTTAGCAACGAGAGCAACTGTAGCAACTGTAGCAATTGTAGCAATGGCAATCGCAATCATTCCAAGTGTGGAGGGGACTTTGCAGGATGGATTTGCTGGAGAGAGATTGACTTTCCTGATTCGCTTCGCCCGGAAGCGCAGTGGCACTGTTTCGAGCCTTCAGACTTCAAGAATGTCAACTCCTCAAACGCCTCGGCACAAGACTCCGTGCGTTTGCGGCGCCGCAAGGGTGTCAACATGCTTGCCTTGGCGCGTAAACGGCACAGAGACCGCTTCCACGCTGTTCCCAGAAGTGGTGGCTTCGCACTTCTCACCCGGATGAACTTCAGTGAATCTGATTGGAGAAGCTTTGAGATCACCTTCGTTCAAGATGGCCTCACGCAGAATCGCCTTCTTAGTCGAGCAGACTTCACACCACGCCATGACTATCACATGGCATCAGTAAGCTCATTGAAGAATCTGCGCCATGTGAACGACATTTTTGTGTGCTTCAACACAGCAAATGACACAGTGATTGCTCACCAGGCTCAAGGTCAACCAGGCTGCGACTGCAGGAACGGGACGGACCGCCTTGGAAGAGAGTGTGAAAGGATTTGGGCACTCGGAGATTTCCAATCTGGCCACGTGCTACCAAGAGCTGTGCAATCGCTGGACGCCCTGTATGAAGATTTGCAGGCACTCCAAAAACCGCCCAAAAGTGAAAGTTGGAGAAAAATGCCTTACTAGTAGTAACAAGAAGCTACTAGTAACTGCGAACTGCCACAACAGATACCATACCAGTGTCCATTTTCGGAGGGCAACTCTCTCACCGTTTAAGCATACCCCAACTGTGGATTCGATGTCGCATGATTCTGGTGGAGCTAGGGACTTCTTGAGTGTTTGGGGGCTCATACTGCAGCAAAGAGGAAGAGGGAGGAAGGAAAGGGGAGGATGAGAATGCGAAGGTCAGTTATTTTTCACCAGCGTTTTCTTCTGGATCAGTGTCATCTTGTTGTCTTCTGACTTGTGACTTGTGTAGCGTCTGGGTGGTAGAGCTCTTCTCGTTGGCAGTCTTGTGGAGCGCTGCGGTAGTAAAGCTAGAGGAAGAGGAAGGAGCAGCAACAACACCAAAATGTACAAAGAAACACGAAAAACCTTTTGCAGGCTTCTTGTAACTTCAGCGCACTTGCGGCTTGCATGTAACGGGGGGGGTGCGCTGTTTTAGCATCGCCAAAAACAGGGCCAAACGAAGCAAGCTATGCAGTTTGACCTGCCCTGCATAACTCGCATTTTTTTAAGCAGAAGGAAAGAACACACCAAAGAACTCTGAAGAGTTCGATGCAATTTGTGAACGAGCGCATCCCCACACAACCTTCCCCCCCCAAAAAACTCTTTAGGTTGGAGTCGGTTGGAGGCCATCGTTGCTAGGGTGGAGGCCATTTAGAATATTAGTATTAATATTTGTAGTAGAAAGGCCAGGAGCCCCTAGTAGCCTTCTTGTTACTAGTAGTAAGAAAGCTACTAGTAGCGATGCCAGGAGCCCCTAGTAGCGTCCTTGTTCCTAATCAGCTCGAGTTTTCTCATCCAACTTATAACAGAAACAATGTAGGAACAAGGACGCTACTAGGAGCAAAGGGCATCGCTACTAGGAACAAGAAGCTACTAGTGGCTCCTGGCATCGCTACTAGGAACAAGGATGCTACAAGTATAAACATATCTCGGACAATGCCGAACCCACGGACCATTTGCTCGATCACACGTCTCACATACCTCTTTACAGCTGGCACCACTGCACAGTTTTTCATAATTAGTACTGGCACTATGGTGTTGCACATAGTAGCGATGTAGGTCGAAAAACAGGTTGTTGATTGAATTGTTTGATTGCTTTGAACGTTGTTTCTGGTCGACACCTGGCGATGAGCCAACCTGTGTTTGGTTTTCTCATGACTAGTGCTTTTTTGTGATTCTTTGCGTGCACCACCGCACAGGTGCTGCCCCGCGAACGAGGCCCGGGTGTGCAAGGAACGCAGGCTGTAGCTCAGTTCAATGACGAGTCGTTCATGCAAGAAGATGTTGTGCACCTACACCGTGCCTATGGATTGTCCCACAGAACAGCCGTTATTCAAGTCCACGCTGCTCGTGGCAAGAAGGACAACTCTGATACAGGAGGTGAGGGATCATTAGATTTGCAGACGATTACTTCTCTTGCGCAAAGTGCTTCAACAACCTGGTGGGGTGTAGATCCTTTTGTGATTGATGGCTTCATGTTGGCTTACACCGTGGATGTGAATGATCACCCATCACCGCCACTGGTGCACTCAATCAGTTGGGGTGATGCCGAAGCCTTATATCCAGCTGCTTTGGTGGAACGTTTGGACTACGAGTTGATGAAGTTCGCCCTTCGAGGCCTCACGGTCATCGTCGCGAGTGGCGACAACGGCAACAGTGCCGTGGGCTCGGACTGCGAATTCGTCCCCGACCTGGTGGGGACCTCTGAGTGGGTCACCTCCGTGGGAGCTACAATGCCCTCATTGGATGCGAAGCCTTATTGCAAAGCCTCCGAATTCCAAAAGCACTTTGGCGATTGTGAGGAATTGGGGCAAGTCACTTGTTCCACCAAAGATGGGGCTCTCATCACCAGTTCGGGCTATTTTAGCGTCTACCGAAGGAGGCCCAGCTATCAATACCATGCCGTGGAATCCTGGCGTCAGGCTTCCAACTGTCTTCCCGTCAGCAACTGCAGCCTTGAAGACTGCCCAGTCTGCCCAGTCCATGCAGATGAGCTGAACGTGAGCCATGACACGATGAAATTAAACAAGCTCATGATCCCATGCCAACACATTGCTCCTACGGGATGCTCACTGAAAGCACTCCTCAAGGACAGCAGGGCTGCGCCAGATGTAGCACTACCGGGTCAGAGCTATCCTGTTGCTTTGCTGAAGAAGAACCACGCGTTGTACGTTGAAGTTCCCAACATGTTGGGTGCTTAATAGCTTTGCATGTTTTTTAGTAATAGCAAACATTGTTACTACTAGTAAGGCACCTGTTACTACTAGTAAGGCACCTGTTACTAGTAGCGATGCACTTGTTACTAATAGCTTCCCGAAATTGAACAAACCACATGCTTCGTAAGCTGTACTTGTGAGCAGCACATCGCTGTTGCCCTGCCGACGACATCGAGAGCGTGAAGATGCCAATCCGGCGCTCCCGACTCCCCACCACAAATTTAGTTCGCTCCTGACACACACACACATGTGATGTGGGCAATGTCGAATGATGTCGATAAACATTAATGAACATGTTTGAGAAAACGATGACCATGTAGTGAAGATGGTGATGACGACATCAAGAAATCAGAACTGCAAAACTGTTTGGTGCATTGAGCTGGGCGCCAAAGGTGATCGTGAACAAGAGTGTGATGACTTTCGATGGCACCTCCGCCTCCGCGCCGGCGTTGGCAGCGTTGATCTCTCGTTGGAACGGCGAGCAGCTGCGGAACGGGCGGCCACCTTTGGGGCTTTTGAATCCGTGGCTCTACCAGGCAGCGATTAGATGCGAATAGCTATGTATAGGGAGGCAGCATTTTTTGAAGCTACAATAAGCCAAATAGCTTATACTTAGCGAACGGACTAAGGGAGGCATATAGTGGATATTAAGCTGGCACGCGACGCGCTCTTTGCAGCTTCTTCAAGAAACTCCCACGAAACTCGGTTCCATCACGTATCATCACATGTTTGTGAAGCAGATGGCGAGACTAATGGAAATTTGTGAGTGACATGTTGTGAAACATTGTGGCATCATGCACAGTGCATGGTGCACTGAGTGTACTCAACACGTCCAGTTTCTAGGTGCATGCCTTGCATCCGGAAGCTTTCCTGGATGTGTCTGAGCTGCAATGCTGTGCAACGCAATGCATCGGAGAGGTTGCTTCAAGCTATGGGTTTCAGGGGATCGTTGGTACAACCTTGATTGACTGCATGGTTGTTTTCCTGCAATAATCCCTGCATGGTGCTGTCTTCCAAGGTGCTGTGATTTCGAAACCGCTTGGAAGATTCTGTTGGGTTTTGTTTTCAAGTCCTGCGTCAAACAAGGCCAGAATGTCGCGAGCAGCTCTGAACATCTAATCCCCCCAGAACACCTGACAGCGACGAAGATAGAAACACCAAATCGAGAAGGCATCGCTATGTTCAGTTTGCGAGCCCCTGCCAGCTCAGGTTGTGGTTGGTGACACTGCATCAACAGAAACGCAATTGTGTCCATTTGGTTTCTTAGCAAGCCCTGGCTGGGATCCTGCTACTGGATTGGGGGGTTCCTCGCTTTTCTGCCCTGCGAGAACTACTGCCGCGCCTTGGTTGCACTTGGTGAACCCAGAAAGAATGGAAGAAGATCCGCATAAGACTCTATCTGAATAGACCTAGTAGGAACAAGAAGCTACTAGGGGCTCCTGGCATCGCCAGTAGGAGCAAGGAGGCTACTAGTAGCTCCTGACTCTATCTGAATAGCGTGAATAGACCTACTGCCTAACGGTAGACCCACTGCCTACCGGGATCCGGTCGCTCAGGAAACGCAATGAGACTTGTCAAAGTGACACGCCAACGGCCTTGCTTGAGAGGACTGAAGGGCTTCAAAACTGCTTAGTTTTGCAATAGCAAATAGCCAGTAGCTACTAGTAGCTTCTTGTTACTAGATGTTACTAGGAGTAGTGGCCTCCAACCTACTGACGATGGCCTCCAACCTAGCAGCGAATAGCTACTGAAGGACTGAACCGCCCTGTGCAACATGAACCGCCCTTCTATGTCCTTGCGAATTCGACAGGACACATGAAATAGGCTGGCGTTGGCCCCTAGCTGTGGTGATCACAACAATAGGCGTGGTCTTTCGTTTCCTCACGTCCTTGCATATCGAATGTGTTGGAGATGCTGAGTATCATCTTCATAAAGTAGTGACCAGCGATGCTTGGAGTTTGGCATGACGCTTTGGCGCCACTGAGATCTCGTTTTCAGGTCTTGGTTTGGGCCTCGTGACAGTCCGAAGGCGCAATGAAGTGAACACCTTTCATCCAAACAAACTGAGACTGCCATTGCTGAGTGCCTCGTAGAGCAATGTGCCTCCAAGAGGACATCTCGTTTGCAACTTTCCAAAGTCTGCCATTGTGGGCCCAAAAGGCATCCAGAAGGGTCCAAGATGGTCCGAGTCCATGTTGACTGAAGATGGTGTCACTGTGCGCAGTGAAGATCTTGCAAGACCTCTTGGCAAGACCCATCCCATCTGACATCCTGCTTGAGCTGAGCTGTGAGGGGCAGCTCTGTGTGGGCATGTCACCTCAGAATACCTCAGAACGGGAGAGCGAAGCAAAAGAAGCAGAAGTGACGGAGACCACCTTGGAGACGATGTGCGCAGTCGCTTGTGCGATGCGACCTAGACTTCGAGAGGTTGCCTTCCCATCCTTCCCTAAATATCCGTTGAGGTACCGAGATGGTGGTCAAGCAGATGAAGGTGGTGGCATCCCGATGCAAATGCCTCAGATTTGATCACTCAAGACAGATCCTTCGTTCAGCTTGTCGTCCGTTTCATGGAGAGGAAGGTGTCTCTTCCAAGGGTTGTCAGTGTGGACGTTCAAGCTTGGCACCTGTTTCCCTCCGAAATAGGTGTACACTGCGAAACTTTCCGCACCTACCCGATCACTGCATAGAGTGGGTGCTGCCAGCAAGTTGCCATTCTTGGCCTGTTCGCCAGAGAGATGACAGAGAGAGGGGGGGCAGAGGAGAGGCAAGTACTAAAATTTTTTACATGCAATTGAGAAGAGAAAAAAGAGTACTTTCAAGCGATACGAGCCTGTCGTGAGACATGGTCTCATAGCAAAGAAGGTGGTTGCATCAAGGCCCATTTTGGTGATGTTCACGACAGGCTCGTGATCAATTTGAGCTGTTCTTCGTGAAATCAGTGAAGCAGCTCAAGAAGTTCAATGAGGCCATGCAGGGGTCTGGAGCGTCAATTCCCTTGTCCTTAAACGCTCAACCAAGGGATTTGCGATGTCAGAAGTACTTTCAAGATTGAAAGAACGCCAATCTAAAAGGCAGACAAAGGAAAGGACAAGTATATGCCTAAAGGTCTACAGAACAGATAAAAAGAGACCACTTCTTGGGACAGAATTCTCATGACTTGGTGACTCATTGGCCTTTCAAGGCATCCAGTAGAACTGTTTGACATGTCTTTTGGTTTCCAGCTCTCTCCCAGGACCCTGGGACATTCATCGGCGACATCAGCTCCAGCACGGATGTCACGCAATCCATCTTTGAGGCACCTTCTTCTTCTTCTTCTTCGAAGTCTTCTTCGTTCAATGAATTCACATAATTTCCTTGTTTGAGTCTGAATATTTTGAAGCTGCCAGTAGGGTAGGCTGGGAAAGCTTAAATTGAACGTGGAAGACTAAGACTATGATTTTTGGATTCCACTCAAGTTGACGAGCTTTTTCTTTCTACGGTCGGAATCCAGCTTCCCGGCTTTTTCGCGAGACGCTGATGTTGTTACTAGTAGTGTCCTTGCTCCTAGTAGTAAGGCCAGGAGCCCCTAGTAGCGTCCTTGCTCCTTGTAGCGATGCCCTTGTTCCTAGTAGCGTCCTCTTGTTCCTAGTAGCGTCCTCTGTTCCTAGTAGTTATGCTCTTTGGATCTGCTACATTGTCGCGAGGTGAGAGGCCTTCTCTCCTTGCTGAATGCTGCAGCCAGTCCGAGCATTGAAAGCGCTGGGCAGACGGCTTTCGGTGCGTCGCTCAGCCGTGCTGAGTGGCAATGACAGCCTCGCAGAAATACTTAAAAGATCGAAGTTCCCTAGTGGCGTCCTTGCTCCTAGTAGTAAGGCCAGGAGCTCCTACTGTAGTAGCGTCCTTGCTCCTAGTAGCGATGCCAGGAGCCCCTAGTAGCATCCTTGCTCATTGTTTCATGCCGTTGAAAGTCTGACAGACCTGTATTTTGATTGTTGACAGACTTCTTTCATCTCCTCTTCCGGGACAAGATCTTGGATTTGACTGCGGCCTTTCCAGCAGATGCCCGGATCATCGATCCAGACACGAAGCAGGAGCGAGCACATTTGTCCAAACTGAGACATAGCAGTATGCATTAGCATCATTGTAAAAGCTTTCAGGTGTTTTGCATAATTTTCATTTCGGAGGACAAGGGACTCTTTTGGTCTGGCCACAAGAGGCCTGGTCTAAGTGCGGCCAAAAAGCACTTGCAGAATGCACCTAGAAGCGATGGCCTCCAACCTACTGTGAGGAAGTTAAGTTTCCCTTTAAAAACTCTAGGAACCAAATGATGAGTGCGTTTGCTTTCCTGCGTCTCAGCGACTACTAGTAGCTTCCTAGGTCGACTAGCTTACTTGCTCCTCTACTAGCAAAGGGCAGCGATAGAGTCACACAGTGGGTCTGTTCGGGCCGACAGCTCCTGAATTCGGCCTGTTCGGTGTGTCCTGAATTCAGGTTTCCACAGTCCACAGCGTTCGATGTGGAGAAAGAGACACACCGGCGCTTTTTGGTTCGGCTCCTCAGTGTGCGTGTATCTGTGTTGCTCTTGCCTTCGGCCTTAGCAAGTTTGGCTTTCTGAATTCTCCACTTCTTGGCATTTTACCACCACGCTTTGACGGCCACTACCACGGGTAGAACGACTGACCCAGGCGGCCTCCACAGCCCTCTTCGCAGCGATGCTGGGAGCCGTGCCACAAAAGCAGGAGGGCGACAACACCTGGTGCCAGGAGACCGAAAAGATTTAGCGATGCTGCGAACGGAGCAAGGACGCCACTAGTACTAGCAAATAGCATCAAATAGCTACTAGTAACAATGAAGCATGTGTTTTTAGAGGGGTAGGGTGTGAGGTGGTTGACCCTACTTGAAAGGATTTTGTTCCTAGATGTTTGATTTGTTCTTTCTGGGAAGCTCAACTGCTGTACCTCCTATCAAGCGCAGGGCTGGAATCACGACACCGGCTCGCCTCCAACCTAATAACGATGGCAAGAGAAAAGCGGCTTGCAGAAGTGGCTAGCGGCTTGTCAACAAGCCTTGCAGTGCAGGATTTTAAGAGTAAAGCATGGGCTGCAGCACTAGTCAAGGCCGGAGTCAGTCGATAGAGTCGATAGAGCATCAGCACACATCATGATGCTGAATTTTGAGGAAAGGTGAAACCTGGAACTACAGACTAGTTACATCTAGTTACTATAGTTGAGGTAAATGCAATGAATTGGTTTGAACTCACAGCATGTGCCAGAAGCTGAAAGTTCCTGAGTACGTCGCGGGTGGAGTGAACACCGATGGCACCAATCTCAGCTAGTGTCGAAGCCGCTGTCTTGTGACAGGCAGTCGAGCGCAGTGATACGGCGCTGCCGATTATTTAAGTATGCCCTGCCTTGATTGAAACAGATGGACATGCATAGTAGTTAAGTTTACCTAAAAATCTAGGAACCAAATCATTAGCGCGAGCTATCCGTCCTAAGTAGTAGCTACTTGTTGGCTACTAGTTACCTACCTCTAGCGGCCTACCCCGCTTCCCGGGCTAAACAAAAAGAAACATGTCCTGGAATTCGGCAAGGAACTGTGGACCGTGCCACGTTTTCTGCTGCAAGCAGCACTCCACACCAGGCTACTGGTGAATTTTGATAAGAGCAAAGGGCAATTGGACAATTTTCGACTTGACCGTTTGGGGGTAGAAAAAGCAACGTTTGGATCGTGGTACAAGCCGCAGACTGGGAAGGAGATCAGCCCTTCAACCTGCACAAGAGCGTTCTTGATTTCCACTGGATTTGTCACAGGTGCTGTGAAGTCTGGAATTGCCGGCATCTTGTTGTCTAAGGTGATGCCACAGCGAGCGGCGTCACTGCAGGGGTGAAAGCAGACTCCAAGGTGCTTCGCGACCCAAGTTTGCAAGGATGCAGTGCAGGTTTGTTTGCCTTTGAAAGTCTTTTCTTTGGTGGCTCTGTTGTTGAAGCGCAAAGTTGGAGCAAGATGCCAGGCGATTCTCCAGGGGCTTTTGCAACAACTGCAGGACAGACTTTGATTCCGGTAGCAAATGGACCAAGCAGTAATGCAAACGGACTTTTGTTGCATGCCAGATGCCAGCTTATCGTGCAAGCCCCTCTGTACGCCGTACAGTTGCTTAGAAGGGGCTGCCTTTTTTCCTTTTCCTTTCAGATACATCCGTGAGGGCAGTGAGGGCCCCACCGGCGGCCACAGAATATGAGAGTGGGGGGTTTATTCAAGGTAGTTCTGGGCAAAGTGGGAGGGCATGTAAAGGAACACTTTACTTTGACCATAGAGCAGAGTGAGCTTGGTTGAGCACGATCCAGGGCTTTGCTGGGCATGCTCTTCCTACGTTGGAAGAGGCTGATTTCGAAAAGGACAGGTGCGACTTGGAATAGCAAAGCAAGAAAGCATGGCAAGCTTTATAAAGCTGAGTTTCGCCAGCACCGCTTGAGGACGATGATTTCAACTACCACATCGACTTTATTACTCAATGCGCAAACCTCCGAGCCGACAACTACCACATCACCAACTCGGATTTTCATAAGGCGCTGGGTGCAGTATGAATCTCCAAGCGCTCCAAGGATTTCGCACTTGATTTCCTGGTCCGATTCCTGTGGATTCCCTTGGCTTTGGGGTTTGGCCTTGGATCTTAGTGTGTTGAGACTGCAGGTGAAGCTAGTGGCTGGGCGTATCGTGCCAGCCATTGCGACCACCACAGCTTCCGTGTGTGGTTTGGTCCAAGCCCTATTGAAAAATGAGCACTTTTCTTTTTAAATCTTCTTCCGAACTCCTTCTCCGTGAGCGATTCTTTTGCTTCTACGTGCTCAGCCTTCTTGCTCCGGTATCAACCTGTACCGAGGTGATGTTGGAGCTCTTCAAACTGCTCCAAGGGAAGAAGACGGAGGGCTTTCGCACACGTCAGGCCATGACGGCCAGTCCGATTTTGTTCAAGACAAAGTTTTGAATCTTGAAGTTAAAAGTTCGTAGGAGTTAGAAGTTAAAAGACGAAGATCCTAAAATTAAGTTGTCTTAGAAAGCCTGCTGACATCCAAACAAACATGAAGCAAGAGAACTGTGAACAGAAAGCCAGTTGAGGCAAACGAGAGAGATACAGTAACGTATATGGTCTATAGTACTGTGACTGTAGTCTTTAGAATCCAATTGAATGTCACAGTCCCCAGATCTGACAAAGCCCAGATTCATCAATGACCCATTCCTGATCCTTATTTGCAGATTGGTCTTGCAATGAACACCTACACATCCTTCGAAGCTCAGGAGGGGTTACAGTGCGTACTGTGACAGCTTTGACAGCTTACTGAACCAAATGACAACTGCATCATTTCTTGTTTATAATAGCTTCTTGTTCCCTAGTAGTAAGGCCAGGAGCCCCTAGTAGCGAACATTGTTACTAGTAGCGATGCCCTTTGCTCCTAGTAGCGTCCTCTACTGAACCAGTCGCACTCCGTCTCTTTTGCTGCATGACGTCTCGCCTAGATGAAGTCATGGAGCATTGACCAGCTGCGCTCAATCTCACGGTGCAAGGAGCCGCGGTCATTCTCCTCAGGTGTTGAAAAGAAAGTGCCACGAGTGCCACCCTGAGCAAACCTCAAATTTAAGGAGCTACTTCATGAAGGGGCTGAAAGTGAACTAAACTTGGAATATTGAATGGTGTCAGTTAGGCCGAAGATTTACCACCCGAAGCCTTTGACGATGCTGGGAAGATAAAGGCCGAGACTCACCTTCAGAGATGCTGACAACACATTACTCAGAGTGATTTGCATTTTTTTTTGTCGTATTTTTGCAAAGCTGGGCTGGCAGAGTCAATATGGACAGAAGCGTTGATATGCAGATAAAGGGTGCGGAGTGTGGAAGATGTTTTTTCATTGTTTTTGAGCCACTCTTTCACTCCAGGCGGAATATGTCATTGAAGAGGCGTATGCATCATATCCTGAGAAGCACAGCGTTTGGGATAAGATCCACGTGCCCACAGGCACAATGACTCTGGAGGCTTGTGATACATTTCAGTGCAACTGCCAAACCACTGAGCGCAAATGAAGAGCTGCCACATTTTTTCGGTTTCGAGCAGCGTTACTTGCAAAACAAGATCACAGACTTACACAAAAGGCCAGGTGTTGTTTTGGAGAAACAGAAGACACAAGGGTGCACGACTGAACACCAGTTCACAAGTGCGGTGGCTAGGGCTTCAAAGACTGGCTGGCCAAAGAGCACAAACTGCAGCGGCGCACTTAGCTCTTAGTACCTCCGACGCTCTTGAGAACTCTTGGCGTTGTGGACGCATGGCAAAACATGCCAAGGCTCCGGAACTGGAGCTTTGTTTTGGGCTGGAAGAGAGTTGTGGACGAGGCTGGGTGCAAGCAGAGACTACCTTGCGAATTCAAGCAACTGCAGACAAGATATGACATCACTGCGTTTTAATTTAAAGCTTCCCTCTCTTCTCTCTCTCTTGCATTGGCTCTTGCATTCGCCTGCAGGAGAACAAAGAGATGAAAGTCCCTTTCTCTTCGCAGATATTTCCTCCGCCAGTGTCCATTGATGCGAAGCTCTTGCCGCCTTTGACGGATGGGCAGGCCGTGCTTGCTTGTGCTTGATGGCTGTCGGAGTTTCGAGAGAAAACATGACACATGACTCCTTCGCAGGCTGATGCAATGAAGAAGATCATGGCATCAGCTGCAATACCTCAAGCCCAAAAGATGAAGTGCCAACATGCAATGTATTGATTTATTTGACCATATTTGACCTCACTTACCTTGAGTTCGGACAGGGAACGAGCTTGAACGACGCAGTTGTTTCGGCCAGGTATGTTGGAGAGTGGCAAAAGGCCAAGCAGTCCGGGAAGTTGCCCAACAACTCCAGCCAGGAGATTAGCGATGGCCTCCAACCGACATAGAGAAAGGACAAAAAACAAGGAAAGAGAGAAGGACATAGAGAAGACATGGCAATGGCCTCCAACCTAATAGCAATGGCCTCCAACTGGGGTGGGTCAGGCCCAAAGCCAAGACTGGGTCTTACAAAAACATTCTGTTTTGATTCGGTTCTGGACCGCAGGAGATCAGACTAGACATGTCCTTGAAGGACACAAGCTGCTTTCATAAGTTGAACGTTTCTTTTTTCAGATGCACTTGCGTCACCTGATGGCGTCGTTTTGACAGTCCTTCGCACTGCAGGACATCCTCGCTTTAATGGAGGTTAAAGCGGAGAAGGCACTTCAGGCGGAGCGGCTGACCAAACAGCATCGCCCTTGAAACCGTGCATGCTTTTTCTGGATGTGTCGAAGACGCAGTGATGCAGGTCAAATCGAGAGTGTTGGAAGACCGGATGCACTAGTCTTGGCAGGATGGTTCCATCAACCCCAAGTGGGGGGAAGGCAATCTCTGACTTAGCTGGTAGAAGGCGTGCGGCACTTGCGGGAGAGACAAACTTTTCAACGAGAATGCAATATAGAATAAATAAAAGCACCCACATTGTCCTTTTGATATGTTTTGAAGACGAATACCTTAGGTCTTGGAATTCAAAAGGTATTCAAAAGGATTATTCTTGGACCGTGCTTTTTGCGCAGGTTTTGGGTCATCCCTTCAGATCAAACACCAGACTGCGCGACGATCGATAAAGTGCCCCTGGACGTGCCTCAGCCCGAGGGTAGAAAGCTTCAAGGCCTTAGGCCTAGTAGGAGGCCATCGCTATTCGGAGCAAGGACGCTACTGGGGGCTCCTGGCCTTACTACTGGGAACAAGAAGCTACTAGGGGCCCCTGGCATCGCTACTAGGAGCAAGGACGCTACTGGGGGCTCCTGGCCATACTAATAGGAACAAGAAGCTACTAGGGGCCTCTGGCATCACTACTAGGAGCAAGGACGCTACT